TACTTGTGTTACCTTTAAGGAATGCAGTAATTTTCAAGAGCCAAACAGAACAAATAATCTAAGTGATTACTTAGCTTATCTACTAAAATTTTGTATGTAGCTGTCTGATGATTTACTGTTTCATTATTCCATTAACAGAATCAGCTAATAAAACATGAATGCAAAGTCCAAGTACTCTGGACAGTCACCAAAATCTCATGGTGGCATTATTTTCCAAAATAAAGATTTGACTCCTCACACGATAGTTATAGCAGATATAACTTAAATTAGGAGAAAACAATTTCTCATTTGTTTAACATGGCCAGTCCCAAACCCTCAGCATGCTATCTCTCCTTCCTTCTCTTTGTTTTAAAGTTTTTCCATGCAAGTAACTTCGGGAATGTAAAAAGAACAGCAGAATCAGGGCACACTTTGTAATATACACCGTCACAAGATGAAGAGACGTGCTTTCTAGAGTAATGCACTTGGTGAATACAGAAAGGCAGGGGAGAGAGGCCAGCAATGAAGTATGCTTTACAATTACTGTTTCCACACAGAATTCCTTTGAGATCAATAGTGCAAGAATCTCATTCATTTTGATGGGATTCCTTTATTTTCAAATGTTATGAAAAGTAACTGCAGCACATAACATAGGCACAGTAATAACTTCACTAGAGTACACCAGCCATTGTAATTTGGATCACTGTGAAAGCAGTTTTTTATTACAAAAGAAAACAAGCCTTAGAAGTGGGTGGAAGGACATCAGTATTTAAAGAGATGTGTTGTATAATGCCTGCCATTGAAGCCTTTGAAACAGGAAAAGCAAATACTCTGCAAATTAAGATATGAATGCAATTACAAAGTTTCAATGTGGAATTAATGGACTGGGGGAAGAAAACGCTCTGGCAAAGCAATGATCCAGCAAAGTACTCGGGCAACTTAAAGAATATAAGCAGTTCTACTGAAATAAAAGGGGGAACACTTGAAGGTAAAAACATGCCCATGCTTAAATATTCTTCTGTTTATATGTTGAATCATCTGCTAATTGTCTTTACAGGCAATAACCCTTTCCAAATTTAAATAAAATTTCAGAGAATCCTTTTAAATTTCTTGTGAATTTAAAAGTATCTCCTACCTTAAACTAGGACCTAGAGAATGGAATCTGGAAAAAATTTCAAGATTTGTTTTTATTTTTAGATTTACGTTTTGTGATTTGCATTATACCTTATTTCATAAAACATGTTACTAAAAATCGTTCCAGCAAGCAACAGCACAGAATTAGGGCTGAAGGGATCTCAAAAGGTCACCCACACCAATATTTCTCAACCTCTTTAAATCTAAACCTCCCCTAAGCCTTTCCGAAAAAAATTCAGAGGCCATTTTGAGCAGTGCCATCACAATTGATTTCTGGCCCACTCAAAATCAGGTTTAAGTTTGAACATCTGTAATTTTTTTCCCCACTTTGCTTCTCTACAGCTTACTACTTCATTTTGTTCAGCTGAAATTTCTTGCAGCTGCTTCTGATGTCCTGTAGTTCGCTGGCAGATATACAGATCTAGTCCATCATACTGCCCTCTATGTCACCATATCAACCATATCTGACAAGTAGTTATCTAACCTGTTTTTAAAATTCTTCAGTGGCTGAGATACCATAGTCTCTCCAGCCAAACTATCACAGAGGTTTAACTACCTCAGCTTTTGGAAAGATTTTCCTAATGCCCTTAAACCCTACCGCAATATAAACCTGTTATTTTTTGTCCTAATTACGATGAATCACCAACAGATTATTTCCTTCTCCCTGCGACAAACTTTTTAATGCATTAAAGGCTTATTAATGACTCTCCTTAGTCTTCTCCACAGGCTTCGCAACCTCACTCCCTTTCATTCATCCTCACTGGACATGTTTTCCAAACCTCCAGTCATTTCTGCTACTCTCTTCTGAAGTATTTCCAACTGTCTGCAGTCTTCATAAACTGTAGCACCAAAGCCCTGGACTTCAGCAAGACTGAGAAAAGTAGGACTCTTTCCTCCTGTTCCCTCCTCTTTTGAGGCTGTTTCTCTCTGTATACATCCCAGTACAACGACTACCTTTTTAGCACCACTACGACATTGTTAACTCCTGTTCCTTTGCCAAAGAACTGTTACCTAGCTAGTTGTTCCTGGTTTTGTATTTGTGCAGTTGTTTGTTGAACAGTTGCACCTTTTTTACAGACCTATTTTGACTGCGACTCTTCTCGTTTGACTGTACTTTCAATGTACTCTTTTCCAATCATCTGATATTCACTTCATCTAGACTAGAAAGGTTGCATTGCACAATCAGAAATAATACTGAGAGTCAAGATTATGTATATGCTTATTAAGTTTCAATTTTAAAAGTCGTAACAGTTCATAAACAACAATTTTGTACCAACGTTCACCCTATGCACACCAGTTAAACTTCTGGAAAACGTAACTGTTAGGTGTGAATGGAGATAAGCACTCCTCTGACTCACATGCGTGGAAAAAAAGGCTGAAACTGCACAGAAATGAAAACCAGCAGGGCCTGAGGTCTCCCATGAAACTGGAGGCATACAAACTGACACCAACCAAGAAGAGGAGGAGCAATAAACATTGGTGAGCAAAAATAAATGTTCATTTAAACCATAAATATTCAATAAGAATAAATGCCAAATTCTAGAAGTCTATGTATCTATCTACTGCTTCTTTCCTAGCCACAAGGTCTGTCAGAGAAGAAAATTAGATTGTTTTGACATAATTTGGTCTTGACAAATCCATTACAATAGGCATATACAATTTGAGATGTCAAAAGATTTATATCATTGAAAAGGCAGGGCCAATAATTGAAGTTCTGATGGGCCTAAGAAGAGAGTGCCATAATAAAGAAATTGCTCAAAGGAACTTGGGTTCAGCACAGCAAGCAGTCAAAAAAAATGCAGCTAATATTTAGCCAGCTTGCTAAAAGAGAATTACTTCTACTCTAAATTTATGTACACTGTATGGAGGAAAGCATGAGCTAAATGTATATAACAATATAAATCTCAGGAGAAAAGAAATTACTTTCCTTTTAACATTGCTCTTCTTGTGTAGTAAACTTGGTGACTGGCAGTACATTTTCATCCGGATATGCACACATACAAAATTACAGATACATCTCACTCCCCCAGTGACTTTTATAACATGTTGCTAGGTAACAGTGCATACAAGTCAGGTTGCAAGACCTTTAGTAAGTCACCATAAAATAACTGCATAGGCCTTTTGCATGAATAATGTACATTTGTATCCTTTTTCTGATGCCAATAGATCAGACATCGAAAACATGACTGTCTGCCAAACTGTAAACAGCTCCCCATCAACTGCTACATGAAAAACAACACATCAAAATATTGCATGTTTTCTCAGCTTTCAGGCTTTCCCCCCTCTCCCGTTTTCTGCTCTCATTCTTGCTACATGCAGCCATCATGAGCACTACCAACTACAAATAAGTACAGTTGATGCACAGAGCTAATTAGTGCACAGCAATCCAAATTTAAGATAGACATCAGAATGACAACATATATGGGACAGCTGTCAGACAACATTAAAAAATAGATTTCATATAGAGTCCAAATTTGAAATTCAATTAAAAAATGTACAAGTAAAAAAATCTACAAGCAAATCAAAACAGACTCATTCTCGCTCATTTTTGTTAGTCATAATAATAAATTACATCAACAGGTTTTTGTCCTTTTTCTCTTTTTTTTTTTTTTTTTAAAGGGGAGGTTTCTGTGGTTCCTTCCAACCCACAGAGCAAATCATTTGTGCCAACCCATTTTACCTCCTGCTTGCCCTCAGCTCTTTTTCATTTTCCTGGTTGGCTCCATGAAGCCTCAGGCTTCATTTCTTTTGTTTACCCATTCTACTCTATTTCCCTGTTTCACATTTTTCACATATATTTTTTCTATTTCACAGAACTGTGATCCCAGAGGTATAAAGGTCTGGGCAGATGTGGAGGACAGCAAGCTTTTCCAAAATAAATAGCTGCGGTTTCACCAAGCCAATGGCATTAAGACAGACCTAATTCCTTAGTGTACCTGACAACAAAATTTGCAACTTACATTCCATTTAAAGGAAAAAGGTGACCAATTACTGTCTATTGAAAAGGGTATCTTCTATCCCCAAAGTCTAAACTTGCTATGGGGACTGCCATCTCCTTGTGAAACAGAAATTTCTTCAGTGACATTTTTCCTGACTTCTTTCTCTTTAAAAATTAAAGACCAATTTTGAAAACATTTAGTACAGAATATCCTCCCAGCATGTCCACAGTTTTGAAGTGTTCAGTCAAATCAATAAAACAGAACATAAAATATAATATTCACTCTAAACACATCCTCCACTTCAGTCTCACATATGAAAATCATTCTTACAGCAACAATCTGACAGTGGAAGAAAACACAATAAATACACGCTTTGCATTAGATATGGATTTCAATTAAAATAGGAAAAAAATTAAAAGATGCTCATGAATCTCTAGGACTACCTTTTTAAAGTGTTAATAATCAAGAAATGTAGTAACATTCATACTTTACCAGTTAGACCTCAAATACTACTCTGAAAGGAAGGTGACCAATGCTTTGTTGGTCCTATTTAACAGATGGGAAAAGGCAGAGAACTTAAGAGCTGAATTTTCTAACATGCTGGGCGCTTGTGACCCTCAGTAATGCCAAACCAGACCTACAGGTATTCAGCATGCCTGAAAAACACACCAAATGAGATTTGCCAAGGTAATTGTCAACGAACATGAAAGCCTGGATAAAAAGTTCCCACTCCCAATCCCAACAATTAAACAGCAAAATCCCTCTCTTCTTTCACCATTTCCTGTATTTCCTCCATGATGCACTTCTTACCAAAAGAAGCAAGAAATTATAAGTTAAGAAGTTGCAATGTTTTTTTTCTCCCTGCAATTCCATGACTTAGCAAACCCAATGCAAAGTGTACTTAGCCCGTAAAGGAGCAGCTGAGGCTACCGCTTGCTGCTCAATTACCTGACAGCTTCATAAGAAAATCTGACGCCATCTTGACAGAGATGTCTTGGCTGAATAGTGCTGATGCTGTATTGGCGACAAAGTCAGAGTCGTCTTTCAGCTTTGTGTTGTTGGGGGCTCTGTCAACAGTGCTAAGAGCAAAAGGTGCAGCTGAGATGCCATTGTCATCTTTGGGCTCTTCTTTCACTAGTAGAGGTGGAATACCTCCACCAGGCTGCCCAGCCACATTGGGTGTTTTAGATATAGATGCTGATCCCGTAATTTCAGGTCCACCTCCTTCCCTCTGTGGTCCCAGGCAGGAGTCACTGTTTAGCTGTGGTGACCCCTTCACCTCAGTTTCTGGTATTTCCTCCTTCACTTTGGATTCTGTCCTGAGGAAATGTTGATGGCAACGCATATGGAGTTTCAGGCTGAAGTGGCGGGAGGAGGTAAAAGGGCATAGCTGGCATTGAAAGGTCTCACCCCTGTCTTGGTGCTGATGAACCTGGTTTAAGAGGTGAAAGACAAAAGCACGTATGAAGCAAAACAATTTACTAGCGTTATAGAAATCTCAACTCTACACTTCTCACACCATTTAAAAAAAAAGTTAACTAATAGGTGAACTCTTCATTCTGAGCACTTGGAAAGAGGTCAGGCACTAAGTAAGGATTCTTTCACATGTAAGTCAAAGAACATAAGCATCAGATTGAACTAAAAAAAGAAAAAAATCAGGAACATCTGTTTCTGCAGCATGAAAATGATGAAGTCTGCTTTGGATCAAACAGTCCTTACAACTGGATCCTGATGACCTGCCAGTGCATAAAAAGACTTCCAAGCTATAACTAGTAGCTTTCTGGATTAAAAAACAACCAACCAACCAAAACTCTATCTATTACATGTTCTGCTAAGCATGATCATTCTGTGCAATCTCATAAATAATAATTGTTCAGAGCAACCCAGCAAAACACCAAACTGCATAGCAATGCCCATCATCAGTCCAAGTATCATTAGAGTAAAAACACGGCACCTGGCAATATCAAGGCACTACTGAAACAGTTTGTTGCAAAGTAATTCTACCAAAAAATGAACAGCCCTGCTATAATAAAATACAGACATGAGAGACGGTGTTTGCCATATACTCTATTTTATCAGCCAATTAATTAACAAAGTTAATCTTTCTATCCTCATATTTTGACTACAGCCACTTTCTCATAGAGACTGCATGCTGCAGTATGGAGCCTACAATGCCTAGTATCCCCAGGCCCGATCCTGATTACTTTTTAAAGAGAACTCTATCCATCCATCCATATGTAATGGTTTACATATTATTTGAACAGACACACTCATTAATATAAATTATATACATATAATTATACGATTTCTTGCTTAACAAAATACTCATCAAAGTGAAGGAATAATTGAGCGCAGCATAACAGTGGCAGATATATTGAAAAAAACTTTTTCCCCCTATAGCTTCACAAATTAATTTTAAACCCTCACAGTAGCACTCTGGGCTACTCCCGGCAGACAGACTGGCAAATACATACATCTTTTCCTTACTAATTGATGAATATGTGATCACAACAAACTGGCACCAGAATGAGCTCCACACGTTCATTTTCACTTGTGACTTGAGTTGGTTGGAAACATTTCAGTGAGACAGATTTTTGTTGGAAAATGGCAATTTGTTGAACACAAAATATTTCACCTGAAACATGGAGAGGTTTGATGAACTCTTGGCAAACAAGGTGTGATTCCCCTACCCTACTGAGTGGCATTCTATCCCCTGTTCCCTGGGCTTGGCTCAGAAGCAGGACCCAAGTTTCACTGCCGTAGCCTGGGAGTCCAAAAGCCTTGAGAGCTACAGCTCTAATTAAAGCTCAGGTCTACATCAGGGAGCCCGGACAACTTAGCTTTAGCTAAGGCTTTCAGCACTTTCCAGTTTCCTGCAGAGCTGAGATCAAGATCCTGAGAGTCCTGGTGTGGATGCTGCAGAGCTCTGGGGTAACAGTAGCAACTCCCAAACACAACTCTGTCAAAATTCAGGTTGGAGTTTCCCATGGTTGTAGATCTGGCCTGATGCATTTTCTGTATAGTATCAGTCACAAGCTCATCATATCCTGCATTCCCAGCTCTATATACACAGGATCTGAATTCAGGTCTGCTAAAATCTGAAGCTGGGACATGTCCCTTTTTCAGCCCTTTTTGCATTCAGTGAAGACACATTTCATTAGTGCTGTATAACTTCTTGTTCAGTAGTTCTTCAAGGGCTCTGGAGATTAGGTACTAAACAAACAGATAGCAAGAGAGAATTTCTCTTGGCCAACCGCTTTACAGAATGACATTCTCAGTGTCATATAAACACGACATTTACAGACAAAGTAATTCTGGAATCTTAAAACTGCACCTGACAACAAAAAGAATTAGAAGCTAATGCGAACCTAAGACAGTTTTAAAGCATCAACCTTGCAGAAGAATAACAGAGCAATAAATTCTAAATATTAACAGGTTACAACAGAAATGCCAACCAGATTGCCTATCTACACTACTGGAAACAGAATGGTCTGCGACCACAGCAGTATGTAAGCACTCTTCTTCATGAAGAGCACCGAGATGTACTAATGGTAGCAAGAACTCTCACCATGGCAACTTTATCTCTTACACCCACTGAGATTCTGTGTGCCAGGGTTTCTCTCCAGGATCCCCTTCAATCAACATTTCCCTGCCTACATACTTAAAAACTTCTTCTAGAGGCCGCTTATCACAATCATCAATACGATGCCTTCTGAAGGCAGCTGGGTGGCAAAGTGTGTGGGAGCCCACCTTCTCTTTCCAGGAGCATGGCATGCCACCCCTGCAACATCTTTTGAAAATACATGAGAATAAGGGGGACTGATTCATCTTACCTGGATTTTTCTCCCGCCCAAAGACAATAGCAGCATCACTAATGGATTTCACATAAAATAAAGTACATTTATAACTTGAACCCAAGGAATGACAGAATTCAAACTCAAATGCTTAGTTTTGAAAGGAACAATTTTAGATCTACAAAAAAACCCAAACACATATGAAACAACAACATTAAGCCAAATATTTACCTCCCAGTGTCCTGAGCCCAGTCCCACCATAAGACTTTATTTTTCTAATTCTCAAAAATAAATAAGAATATTTATTTCAAAATTTGAACACTATGCGAAATAGAAGCTAAGAATTAAAGTCCCTTTAAAGGAAGAACTATCCCTTATTTTCTCATTGAACAGCAGCTAAAAGAGCCAAGAATTGCCATTCTATGCTATTTGGAGGGAAAGGTCAAGGCAGCAACCACTTGCTGCAGAATAAGCAACAAGAAACCCTGTAGAGCTACACAGAAAGCCACAGGGGAGATCCAGGTCACACACTGTTACAGTCCAAAAAGCTGCCTCCACGAGACAAGGAATGGCTCTTACGCTGTGCTAGAGCTACCCAAACCATCAGATGTCCTCTTTAGACTCAACTAGGCTGTTGCTGCAAGAACCACAGGCAGGAGGAGACAAAAGAGCAGCTGACAGGTTTTCTCCAAACTCCCACTCCGAGCCCAGCTGCTGCCAGATTTGGATCTCTCTGAATTATGCTGCAACAAACTACAGTGCACAACCTGCTCATAGAGAACGGTTCTTTCAAAATCCCATAAAACTACTGTTTGACTTACGTCAGAGACATTTAAGGACTTCTGTCTTCCGCGTTTATTTCATTTTACCATGGATATTCTCCTTGACTTGACCGTGCAAAGTACTTGTATCATCTTTATTTTAACCATATGGTCTTCCCAGTCTCAAATGGTATTTTGTGGTTTAACAGTTTTTTCAGTGTGCTTGATACGATGTATGCAATAATTTTCAACACAACCATGCACTCCTTACAAACTTTAGGCCTAGTTTGAGGATGTGGGATCAAATTATTTGTCCTTTTTTTTCTCTTTATTTGTTTCTTTCAGTTTCTCTTGCTGCTGCCTCATTCTCACATTACAAGACAGACAAAAAGAAGCTGTTCAATTTATCTTCTTTTGATCATACCTACTTTCTATACCTGGCAGCCCCATTCTTTTCAGCTTCTGTGTTCAAAGGGAGTTCTTGCCATCCCACTTATCATTTTCGTTGCCAGCTTTTAAAACCCCTTCTACTTACGATACGTCTTTTTGATGCAGTGACCATAAGTGAATATCATAAGTGGCAGCATTCCATATGTTAGTAATAGCATTGTAATATTTCCAGCATTATTTCTGGTTTATTCTACAGACATTTAAATATCTCATGTACTTTTTAACCACTGCTGTGCATGCCAAGAAAAGGTTTTCACTGAACTGTCTACAAAGATACTTAGATAGCTTCCTCGAGTAGTTACAGTTCATTATATCAGACAGCCAGGTGGTGCATGATTAAACTCTAGTTTCCAAGGTCCAGTACCTTGTATTTGTCAACAATAACTTAATTTGCCCTCTTGTTTATCTGTCAGCCAGCCTCTTTTTGTTCCCTTTCAAGCTATGCTTTTTCTAATCTTGTTTCATACACATAAGGTTGTATCGTCTACAATTTTCTTCCCACAGTCATCAATTGTGCAGATCATATTCGCTAGAGTACATACAATTCCACTCTTAGTAACGGAACACCCTTCTGTCAGCTTTTCGTCATGCTTAAAATCGCCAATTCCTTCCTACCCTTCGTTTTACTGTCTCTTGGTGAAATTCTAATTTGCCATAGTACATCACATCATTTAATTTATTTGGCAGCTTCTCAGTGAGAAGCTTTGCTAAAAGCTTTTTTAAAGACCAAAGAAGTTTCAACTGATTGTTAAGTCCATGATTTTCCTAACATGCTCAAAACATCTTAGTAGAACACCACATGATTTTCTTTTACGGAAACCACATGTCCCTATCACATCACAACATTTGAATCACTGTATTTTTTTCTGTAACATTTGTTGTTGGCATACTACCATTTCTGGTATCAGAAACAGTTTCTTAAATCATCTTTTCGTACTTAAAAGCAACATCCCTGCTAATTTACCAGCCAGTTTAAGTCATGGGAAGTACACACTGGCCCGTACAGATGTACCAGTTACACGTGATCCTAACTAATAGGGTACAATGGTGAACAGGGGTGAGGGAAACAGTGACACAGGTATGTCCTGCAGTTTTGTAGTACTGGTGATGTAGATCTTTTCTTTTCCGCTTCCTTAAAGTTGGGGTAGTGCTTTCCACAGACTCAAGGCACAGGAAGGCAAGGACTGGCATTCACTTTTCTTTTGTGGGATCTCACAGGTTTTTTTGGTTATTATTTTTTAAACACTCAAAATAAGAGGAAAAGTTTTTTCTGAGAATCTTCATCCCTATGCAAAATCCAAACATAAGGGAGTTGGGGTGCTGAATACATTCATTGCTGTATTGCTTACGGATACTCAGTCTTTACTTATTTTCTGTAACCTAATTATCACTTTATTCTGTGCCTGCTGTATGTTTTATTTTTCTCA